TCTGTTAGCAGCAGGACTAACAAAACATGGCTCCTCATACATTTATATTTTATACATACACTCTGCCTCCTAAGCTTCTTACCTCAAGATAACACTAGGGCATAGGTCTATGAAATCTAAACTCGCCTCTGTGACAGCACCTCATATCCCTCAAGTTCCACACATTTCCTAGTTTCCTAATCAAAGTCTAAAGGTAAGAGGCTATATGTACAACAGCTAAAGTTAAGCATGCACCAACTGCTTCAAGTATTGGGTGCTACAACTACAGGATAAGGGCTAAGAGATGATCTCTCCTTTTCCTCAATTTGGGGTGCTATAGTGAGGAACTACCTCCAGCCGTTCATGTCCAGACATTTTGCAAGAATCCAGTATCTTTTGAGGCTGTCTGTTCCTCTGATTCAGCTGAAATTGGCTAATAGATTTAAAAACTGTTGTGGTAGTGGGGGGCAAGGTGATGACAACATTGCCAGAAAGGCAAGAAGGTAGCGATAACCCCACAGCCTAATTTCCTTAGGAATTTTGGCTAAATATGGTAAAATAATTAAAAATTGGCACAACATTGACATTTTCACTGAAAACATCACACTTAAGGTTATCTAAAGCCTTTGCAGAGCTAAAAAAAAACCCTCAAATACCGTGCACTCCCCAGTGAATATTCCCCCATTTCCAAAGTAATAAAAGTCCTGCATCTTAGACTCAGTATGTCACATGATATAACTGGCACAAGGCCAAATATTACCCACAGGAAACATTTGTGAGACAGGTTGATTATTTTTTGGTTTTTTAAGAGAGCAATGGATAAGAAGCGCTCACAGGGTTGAAGCGTTTAAATCCATTTCAAAGTGAAATGGATTTGTGGATAGAGTGCTTGCATGCTCTATGCTTTCTATCATGCAGCTCTGCATTTTATCGAATTGATACCCTACATAAAGTATATCCAGTGTGACAATTTCGAGAATTTATCTGTATTATTTTTGATACGTTTGACATACAAAAACAGCACAATGCTGAATGCCTATATATACATATGCATGTATATACAAACATACACTGAGCTAGACTAGATTGAATCGCATTCGGTCCTGGTTTGAGCTGGGGTTGAGTTAATTTTCTCCCCAGTAGCTGGCATAGGGCTGTATTTCGGACTTAGTGGGAGAATAATGTTGATAACACACCGATGTTTTAGTTGTCGCTAAGCAGTGTTTATACTAAGTCAAGGACTTCTCAGCTTCCCATACTCTACCAGCAAAGAGGTGCACAAGAAGCTGGGAGGGGGCACAGCCAGGACAGCCGACCCAAACTGGCCAAAGGGACATTCCATACCATGTGCCGTCATGCTCAGTACAGAAACTGGGGGAAAGCTGGCCAGGGGGGAGGCTGCTCGGGGACTGGCTGGGCATCTGTCAGCAGGTGGTGAGCAGTTGCATCGTACATCACTTGCTTTGTATATTCTTTTATTATTACTATTTTACTTTATTTCAATTATTAAACTGTTCTTATCTCAACCCACAGGTTTTCTGTGGTGCGCCGGGGGCGGGGGGCAGGTGGCTGTGTGGTGCTCAGTTGCCAGCTGAGGTTAAATCACAACACATTTCCTTCTAAACCAGGATTAACAATTAATGAACATGTACTTAAATGGAACTCAAGCAGAACAGAGTTTGTTTTGCATTTTCCTCATGTTTGCATGCCATCAAAAAAGAGGTGCAATTCAGGAAAGACAGGCTACAACTGGACTCCACAGTATAGAACAAGGCCTGGTTAAAAAGCAGATCAGAGCAAAAAAGCTACGAACTAGCTAGTCACCTCAATGAACATTGATAAGCATCCCTGCAAAGTCCTGGGAGCTTTAAGTGATGCTGGCAAACATTGTAGTGTCCACTGATAAGCCATTGATGAGCCATGAATTCACAACTACCACGACACTGTGCTTCCAACTAACATATACCTTATGTAGAGGCTCCCTCCCACAGTAAGTTTCTACCGAGGGATTAGTTGAACTGTAAACCTTTAGAAATAAGTCAGTGCACAGGTTCTAACTCTGCACTCCATGAACCCGTATCGAAACCTTCTGATGAAAGCCAGCACTCACAGTTCAAACAGACTCTTAAAGCTTAGAAACATACAAGTGAACCACCTGACAGCAGTGTGGAGTAGCATGTGCCTTGAATAAAGTCTGTATGGTAATTCCCATTTTCAGAAACATCTAGCATTACATTTTGTACTGCAGAGACAATTATTTTACTTTAAATTACTTATTTAGGGAAAGTAATCTATTTCCCTTAAAGTTTATAATTTGCATCCAAAGTCAAATCTGAAGTAGTCAGTTTGAAGTGGGAATGAATATGAGATGAAGCCTCTGAATAAATAATTTGATTTACTGTCCTTTACATACAAAACATCATCCATCACGTGAAAACAACCTTTGCGAGGAAAACAGTAAACTCATATTGAATCTCTGCACGCACTTTTTTGACAGTGTTTAAAATGAAGTCTAAAGGTTTAGTGAAATATTTTTTGCTTTTGACTGAAATTTCAAAAGCAGCTTTGAAATGTCAGTATCTAGAAGACGTTTTTAATCAACCTTTATTGGATTATTCAATACTTCAGACTGATGCCATTCTTTAGAAAACTGTACATGGATTGAAGGTAGAACAGAAGCCAACAATTGGATGTACAATACTTATAATTTTCAACAGATGGCACTTTACAGCAAGGAATCTACAGTGTCTAATTGAAAGATAGCAAAAACAATTGTATGGCTGAGTGCATTGACATGCCAAAGTCTGCATCTGAAAAAACCTAATATCCTTAAACTTGAAAGTATAGTTCTAGAAAACTGAAAGAACAAAGCGGGAATCTAAAGTCAAACAAAAACTCTGAAGTAACATTCTATCTCAGATATTGATCACACCAAGGTGTTCTTCACAAAGGCAGGATATTCCCATCTTCTTTTCTTAGGTGGAATTTACAGGTAGAGTTAAGTTTAAAGATAGCAAAGAAAACATGACCATCAGACTACGGTTATTACTGCATACAAGCTCAGAAGAGAACAGAGAATCCTTTTAGTAATATGAGTTAGAGTGCAGTCTTGTGCAAAACTTGACAAGCAATTTTGATGTCTAAAGCTACACACAAGATTTTTAGAACCATTTATGAGCTAAGTAAACAAAAAAGGCCTGGGAGCATTGCTGCCTCTGAGTTACAACCCAAGTTACACTTTTAAGTTGTCTGTCAGTATTATCTGAGCGGAAGGTGCTTACTAATGAGAGTCACAAAAGGCAAACTGAGAATGACGACGTTTAAAGAAATCCATGGGGAGCTAACAGTTATCTTCAGTTACCTAATCAGTAGTTATAGAGAAAAAGTCACTCTTCTTGGAGATTCACAGAGAAAGGACAAAAGGCAATGGACACAAGTTGCAGCACGGGAAATGGCAATTAGGTAAGTTTTCATAACAGAACTAGTTGAGTATTGAAACAGGCTACCCAGAGCATTTGAAGCTCCATCTTTGGAGTTATTCAAAACTCGACAAGGCCCTGAGCGAACTCGTCTAGCTTCAACAATAGCCCTGCTTTGCACAGGATGTTAGACTACAAGAACACCAGTCCCTTCCAGGAACTTGTAGGATTCTAAATTGCTGAGTAGAAAATGCCACACAAAAGGATGAGACCCAACACCACATCCTCAGGGCATAACTTCTGAAAGATACTCCCTCAGTTATGACTGAGCCATATTCTCTCACACTCCCAAAACAACCCTTCTCACAAAACCAGAGAACATGACCACCTTTTACCCCGTGATCATGACATCGCTTAGGGACATGGTTTAGTGGGCATGGTGGTGTTGGGTCAACGGTTGGACTCGATGATCTTAGAGGTCTTTTCCAACCGTAATGATTCTATGATTTCAACATGGTGCAGGAAGTCCTCTTTCTAGTAAAGGACTGAGGACCATGTCTTGGTCTGAATCCTCATTCTGAACTAAACCGAAGAAGTTTTTGATTTTAAAGTCACCTAACTTTTCAGATGTAGGAACTGGTTAGTGCGTAAGCTTCCCATTTTCTACGTTAATTTATATAGGATCAAGTCAGCAGCCACAATCAAGCAGCACTTACTATGCTAGACAAAAAAGGAACATCTCATTTGTAAATCCTGTGAGAGTTTACAGACTAGATGTTACCATCCAACAGTATTCAGTTCTGTTAAAAATATTCATGCCCATATGCAGAAAATGTAGGCACATACAATTAGAGTATTTCCAACATTAGGTGGCATGCAAACAAATTTCTCATACATCTGAGCTGAATCCTTAAGGTGATGTGGCAAGGTCATGTAACAAACAAGCTTTTGTAGGCACACAACTATAGCAGAAGGTTTTACTAAACATTATTTCTCCCAGAAATTTTTCCTGGAATACATAAAACCTTTTGTAAATCTATCCTCTGTACCTAAATATCACTAGAAATCCCACACTGAATTTGAAGCAGAGAGGTCTGCTAATAAAGTAATACAGCTTCCCCTTCAGCACTGTGCAAGGGAAAACTTCAGGTACAAGAAGGTCTAGGAAAGGGTAGTGTTATACCTCCACAGCATCTTGCAATGCAAATACTGGGCCACAAAATGCCATGATAGCTATATCCTTTTCCGTTCCTGAAGGAGGCATTCTTTCTCCTCATTGCAATCAAAAAAATTAGGCACCTAAGAATCTCATTCAACAGCCAAGAAACCAACAAGCAGCAGTGAGAATACAGCAGAAATGCAGCAACTACAGGAAACTGAAAAATTCCAAGCCAGATATCGGCCTTGTCAGGCTTAGAGCTCTCATGAAAACACAGCTGTCATTTTAGCACATTTTTTCCCCTTCATTGGTAGGAGCAGATTCATCTCTTGCACAGATGAAAAACTCTATATCCAGATGAACTGAAAGATAAGCCGTTGCATACTTCATACATTTAGAATCAATTCCTTTTAGTCAAGGAAAGCCTTACTAATCTGCTATTTACGAACTCTGCTCAGAATGAAGAAGCTCTTTCCATACAGCTTCATCCAACCTTAAGGCTATAAAAATTTATGCCTCAATGCATTTAATTAGTGAGAGACTTCCATATATCTGATTCAGGCTGCTTCCAATCTTCTCCCATTAGTCCTTTCAGGTTCAAGTCTTTGAAAAATTCCAGGCGATGACTGCAAAGAGAGGAGAAATAAAGAAAAAAGTTCTAAGTCTTGTAGTATGTGTCTTAATAAAAGGCAGTATCCTCAATAGGTTTAATCAATCTTTATTTTCAGGTTTCCTTGGACAGGAATGTAACCATTCCATGTGCTCATTTTCCCAAACTTGAGTTTATAAATAAAAAACACTACTGTGTTCTGAAAATCTTGTACTGGAAAACACAGGGCAAAATCCTCAGCTGTGAACAAGTATCACACAGCATAAAGTGAAGTTAACAAACTGCTCACCTTTTAAAGTCCCTCAACTTACGTTGCCTGGAACTGCAGTCAGAGCAAGAGCACAGTGCCTGCTTTATGACTTATCCACGTTCCAACAGAGCAAAAATTTTCAACTCTTGACCAACGGAAAAATCGTATCACAGGGATATCCTTTCCTTACAGAAAAGAGGAAGACTGGATAGGATAATGAAGCTAGTAAATACATTTTTGCTGTAAGACTAGAAGTCTTGTTTTCTTTTAAACATTATGAACTAGTTCTTGCTAAGAATTTCTCCTTTAGGCTACCACACAGAAACAATAGAAGGAAGACACTGAAGCCAATTGCTAATTAATAATTACATTAAACAACTGCCAGCAGTAGACAGAACATCTGACACTACAGTAATCATTTAAAAAGGTAAATGGAATTCTCTTATTAGGAAGTAATTTGTAAGAGTAAAGACAAACTAAAGAGCAATGAAAGAAAGGAGCAACCTCTTCACATAATTGCATCTGCTACCGATGTCTGAAAAAGTCAAGGGGTTTTTTGGAAGGGGTACTATAGAAAGAACAGAAAGAATCCCTTCCTGAAAAATATTACAGGCATTCTCCAGTTTACCACAGAAAAATAAAGGTATCTATTTCTTACGGAACACTGATAAAGAGAATGTATTTTATTAGCAATAGCTTAGAATTTTTTTAAACAAACAGTTGCAGAAGCTAGGTTTTTCTTAAATAAAGGCAAAAAAGGGTAACTTATCTAAAATTTACCTTACCTGGCTGTCATTGTATGTTAAGTAACAAGTTTGCGTAAGAACTACAGCGTACCCTCTAGAGCGAGTTCATTCATACAAAATGCCCAGAAGTAGCAGGTTTTATCAAATCATCTCAGCCTCACAGTCACAGAAAATAAACAGGCCCAAACCACAATTGAAAAATCAAGATATTCTAGTTTTTCTCTTGATACCGGGTATCCTTTCATTATACTTTTCAGTTTAGTCTGCCTTTTCAAATTTTTCCATAATATGGAGCCATCTGTAGAGGTGAGGTTGTTTGTAACAGTAGGGGAGAAGCAAAAGATTTACTGGAAACGTATCTGCTGAAATTAACACTAAATGGCGTTTCAGGAAGTGCTGGAGGCAAGGAAAAAGTAGAACAACTTATCTATGATTTAGCTGAGGAAGGCGATAAAAGAGATGCCAATAGTGTTGAGTGCATCATTTTCTATGCACCTAGGGGATAACACAGAAATCAAGCACTAATTACAGCTATCTGCCACAGTGCTTTATACAAAGTACAGTGCCAATGCATCTAAGCAGTATAATTAAAATACTAGTGGCACTCAATCTGAAAACCAGATTAGCTTTTTTAAGTATTCCAAGAATAGTGCAAGTATACTATAAAAGAGCTAATTTCATGCTTACAAATCTGGTTTCTGTCCTTCCTGTAGTTCACGTCGAGGCACAGGATGAAGCGCTTCATATTTTCTCTCTTCTCCTGAGCCATGAATTGCAAATGCATTGAACTTGTTAGTGCATGGTGGAAAATAATTCCAAGGAAGATGAGCTTTACCCTCCCATTTAGTTTTCATTCTGGTCACCTCAAACTCCACAGGAAGTTCTTCCTGTTAAAGGAAATAAAAAAAAAAAAGAGGTAACGTCACCTTCCAATCGGGCAACATGTACCTAAAAACAATTAGGTTTTCTGTACACTATGAATGTACTTGTCTACTTACTTTCCATACTCTTCTTTTGCCAGAAAGCAGCAACAACAAGTGTTGTCCATGGCTGTCAAAAAAAATCAGAGCACAATTTTCTTAAAATGATGCCAAGTTATTAGTGTACTGTTCTGCCACAAATGTGTACATTCTGCATATTGGAACAATTTCTGTACCCAGTCTTCCTCATACATATATCTTACAAGCATTAGAACTGCAAATGCAAATTAACATTTGTTACTTTTTCAGAGTGCCGTACTTACGGACAAAGTTCAACTTCTAAATACTGTTCAGTTCTGTCGCTCAGGAAAAATGCTTCTACAACTGAAAAAACACAGGCTGTCAGTATTTTATATTAACTATTTTTTAATATCTTGACACCTTCGTATCCCACTTAAACAATTCTGTTTTCGATTTTTGGCCTGTGCCACACCAGAGTTTGTCTAGCTGTGTACATGCTACTGACAGCTTCCTAACTATGTGAAATGCTGTGCCATAATTGTAACTTCAAGAGCTTTTATTTTTAATGCCTATCATCATAAAGAGCTTTATAAAGCACTGTACTAATTTTATTTACTTTACCAACTCCAGCTTTGGAAACACTCATCTTGATGCAGCAGAAAAATGGTAGGTCTACTAACCAGTGTTAGCTGCCAATGCAGTAAGAAAAGCATCAGCACACAGCTATTTCACCTAGTGTCCTTGCTGTGAACAAAGCTGACCAAGATAGGGTGATCCTAGTCAATCATACTCGCAGCATGCACTTCAGGCAGAGCACTTAAGTGCAGAAGGCTTGTGTTTGCTGGTAGCCTGAGGATTCACAGCACCAGAGACCAGAAAAAAAAAAAAAAAAAAAAAGAGGAACATACGTTCACAGCAGAGCACACACCCCATAACTAGCTCAGAAATAGTAAGAAAGTGTTTAGCTCTTAAGTGGCTTTTCCCTGAAGATGGCCAATACTTTGGACAGGAGATTACTGTTCCAGGTGTACCTGAAAGCCTGGTGTGACTGCTGAATCACCTTTCAGGAACACAAAGCAGAACTATAATGGTGTTTCTCACAGCAATGACATTATTAGAAAGCTTTGGTTAGAATTATAATTAGATATGATCGATAACTTTATTTTATTTTTACTTAAGCCTATTCAGTATAATAATATCAAAGAGGTGCTAATACTGTTCTAGTAGAGCTTTCATCAGAATAGCTCAATAATGAGGAAGTAGAGATCTGCTGGAAACATTAAATTCTTGCATTATTCAAAGCAACACGTAAAAGTGAAAGTATTGACAGGAAAGCAGAAAGAAAACAGCATTACTATAAGAATATTTCCCATTCCACTTGGGTACATATTTTATAAGCTGCCCTTTGTTTCACACCTTCCTATTCCTCAAATATACTTCGGAAAAGTGATTAAAATAGACAAATGTTTTAGCTATTGTTCTCTATTTCTTAAAGCAGAAGTAGAACCTATCTTTTGGATTTTGCTTCTATTTATCTACTGCAAATCCATTTATATATATATATGCGCCACAAAATTATTTTGATATTCAAACATGTCAAGCCTCTATTATTCCACAAGTTATATCAGCAACCCAGAAACTAAGTTTGAGTGCCTATACTATTGACCAGATCAGGAAGAGTCAACCTCATCATTCTTGAAATCTATCCAGCTCATTGTATTCCATTTCTTTATGGCCACCGAGTGACATAACGTATTTGCTTCTTTTCATAGTTATTTGTATTGTTGCACTACAATAAAACAACCACTCACCTTACAGCCAGCAGCGTTAGTAATGAAAATCAATTCACCACCTAGAAAAAGAGCACCACTCTTGATACAGTTTGGGGTGGTTTACAGCTGAATATAGTATGTGGCTTATAGTTACTTAAGGAGCTGTTTAAAGGTAAGGCAGTGATTACAACTCAATTCTTTCCCAGTATTCTTCCCCACAGAAAGGAAATTTTTTTACTTTACATTTCAGATCTGCTCTTTAAAAGCAGTAATGTGACCAAAGAAACCAAATTGAATTAGACGTCATACACTCGCAACCTTAGATCAGTTTGAAAAAATAACCATCATAAACTCTTCAGTAAAGACCAGGCATATTAACTACAGAGGAACATCAGTGTCTACACAAATCAGATATATTTGCAGCAGAACAGTTACGCTTACCCTCATAGTCCCACAGTCTACTAAAAGGTTTCCCTGGCTCTCCAAGTGGTGCTGGAGGATCATTAAAGAAGGGAGCATTAACTTCCATCAGCAGTCCTGCATTGTCCGACTTCAGCACAATTGTTACTGGCTCATGGCTCACAGGTAAACCATCCCATGTGTGTTTAATTGTAAATTCCATCTTCATGTACTAGGTAATGAGAAAGGAAGTGTCTGTCAAAGAAGATCTCAGATTCCATTTCAGCACCAACTACACTGTTTGCTTGGCCAGGAAAAAAGCACACTTTCATACAAAGTCAATCATCAAATCATGTTTTTAGACATCAGAAGAGCTGGGATAGTTTAGTTTTATAAAGCAACTAAATGAACAGTTACATGAATGCTTTTCATAGTTTTTTGATATCTGCATGGTTACAAATAACTCTGAAGTCTTACCAAGCTTATGGCATTTCAACTACATACCTAAATAAACACCTTCCAAACCCATCAGAAATATTTATCAAGAGAACAGATAAACAAAACAAAAAGTCTCCACTACATGATCTCAGATGATTTGGTAATATGAGAAAAACAGATTGAGAAAAAACTTCCATGAATCTGAGATGCAAGAAGATGAAACAATTAGCTAAAACTTTCCTTCGTGGTCGTTGCAAACCAGCCGAACTACAGGATTTCAAGGAAAACTGCAAGCACATCTTGTTAAACACACTGAATGCTTGCAGAGCAGCAAGAACAGAGAACACTGCACTCCAACAGCAGTTGTTACTTAGAAATAACTGTACAAACCTTAAGAATAGCCTTAATCTATTTAATAAGCAAAAGAATCAGTGGAGCCCAGTTTCCAACAAGTTTATGGCCCCTTATCCCTCCCCTCCTCAGTATTATGAGTTCCTTCCCACCTCCACAAAAGTGATCCTCGATTTGTTCCCTTACACGTGTCCTGGCCGTACCAGAAGGGAACTGGCAGTACATAGCCTGGCTGAGCATTATGCACACGCTGTTAAGTCCTGTGACCAGAGAGGTGCTAGCACAGTAGCTACGTTGTAACCACGTTTCCTTCAGTGGGGAACACTAAATGGTGTTACTTCATTTCTACCCAGACACCCATTTTCTTGGGACTCACAGAAAGGTAAGCATAACTTACCACATTCTGCAGGTGTTATCAACAGGTGTAGTACGTGAGACAGAATGTAACCACATGCATCACACTTCCCTATATGCCATGGCCTTGCTCTTATGACTACACATTAACTGTGTCTCATACCCTCTGCTACAGTCACACTAGCCAGTTCCATTCACTGATGTTCATGCTGAAAAGCACCAGACCTCCTCTCTTTGAGTTCAAATCGGTAAAACAGCCAGAATGACATTAGGTAAGTAGATACACTCACAATCAAGGAGATGATGATATGACCAAAGAAGTGTGACAGATTAGAGAAAATTTGAAGCAATAGATTTAGCAATTAGGCACCTTAAATTAAGAAGTCTAGTAAAAAAAAGAAAGTCAAATATCGGACCCTCGCTTTTGACAAGGTTGTATTTCAATAAACTGAAAACTAATTAAATTCTTATGTCAGCATTTTGACTGCATGGTATGCTAGACAAGCATCAGATGTGCTTTATGCAAGAGACCTGGTATAGCCCTAGAAACTATGAAAGACTCTACCATCGTTAATGTTCACTCCAACTGAAGTGGCAAGTTTCTGCAAGCAAGATCACGGAAGTTGAAAGAACACAGTCAGTGCCCAAAGCATGGGGAGGGAAGACACACAACAATGTCCTAACAGCATTCTTAAACTAGCAGAAACTGGCTCATAGTCCAGTATTACTAGTAACTCAAACAGGAAAAGCTAAATCATCCACAGTTTAAAACAAAAAAGAGAGAACTAGTAAGAAAAGGTATTCTAAGCAAGTACAGTGACAACTCTTCTGCAATAATTACAATGTATGCCACCAAATAAAAAAGCAGTATGTTAAATAACAAGTCCCTTTCACAACACAAACAGCTGCTGAAACATATTCCATGGGCTATTTAGCCTTAAACTGATCTAGAAAATATTAATCCACAGGAAATATAGGCAAGTGTTGTGTTTTTAATTTTCTAAGCTGCAAACACTGAGCAGCGTGAGCAGGAAATATCCACAGATGGTAAGACCCTTCCTAGTGTTTTTTGAAATGAACAGGACAATTCCTGTAAATGGAGTGCACATACCTTATGCGCTCTTACTGTGAAAGTAAACAAGACAGAATTCCACAAGCAGGATCACTTACTCAGAAGAGTAAAGTTTAAGAGTAGATGGGTGCACCTAAGAAAGCTAATGAAGTGTTATGAACCCATTTTATGCTAGACTATTAAATTAACATTATGCACTTAGAAGTCAACATTTCCTTCTATTATTCTATTTTAAGTTTGTGCTAATATATTTAACTTTGCATTCACTGGTCAAGGCAAATATCTGAAACACCTATTTGAAATAATGTCAGATTTCAAAAGTGTTTTAAAATAATATAGCCTTCTAATAAAAGTAGCCTGGGAAGATCTTAAAATCCAGGGAGAATTACATGACCACCTATTACAATTCCTGACTGAAGGAAGGAATGTGAAGCTCCTTGTGCACAAGATTTGAAAGGTTGTCTCAGGAAAAGAGTCACAACATACCAAGTTTTAAAAAAAAGCAGTAAAATAATAGAACCTGCAAACTACTTTAGACACTACTGTTACCGTAAGTCGGCAGATGAAAAACTCTCTAAGACTCGATTTGGAGTTTTAGAAAGCAGGCATTCTTTATTGCGGCGCCGGACGCACAGGGGATCACTCCACCTAATGTGCATCCGGGACTGCTTAGCTATAGGAGTTAAGTACAATCAAAATATACATATTCATTAGTTTTCCGAGACATGATTAACATATTAATGTTATTTCATTAACATATGTAAAAGTCTTTACGCATGCGCTCTTATGTCCATTGGTGGTCTTTCAGGGTCCTCTGGTGGTCGTCGATAGTCTTCCTCACCGTGACCGCTAGTTGAACTCACTTCTTGCGCATGCACAGTTTGTTCTTTGGCTCAGTTTGCACACTTTTACCTTCACAAACTAGCTGTCTTCAGCATCACTTCCTTATCTACAAAGTTTCAAGGTCTTCTGGCCTACTGAATGTTTAGCTTACCTATTCAGAGAGTATACCCCTACTGCACAGAGTATACTCCCACTGAATGTTTGGCTTGTCTATTCACAGAGCCTGTCAAGCTTGGCTACATTATGTCCAGTGAAGAGAACCATATGTCTCTTCATCATTCCTTTGTTCTTTTTGTCACTACTGTAACTGTAGTGTCTAAAATGAAGATGAGACACAAGATGCATCACACATTCCTATTTGTACCCATATGAGAGACAGATGACTTTTTTTGGTAAAAATCTTAACTCCTGTAGGGACAGCTTACAGCGTACTGAAATGAACATACTGAAGATTTAGCCCACCGTCATAAACCAATATTACTCTTGAACAGAAGAACATGCAATTTTAAAAAGAACCATACAATAGTAAGGAAAACTGCAAAACAGTCACAAGCTTCCATCAGAGGTCTACCTAGTGCTAAGGTTGCTTAATTTACAGGACAGCAGATCTAAGATTTTCCAAATTAATGACCATCGGTGCAAGTTTTAAGTTTATTACATTACGTAGACTTAGGTAAGCTGGCTACTAGGATGCTTTTCAATTATAATGAAAGCAGCAACACATAGCAATGGTGTTAAAGTCATTTCAAAGAGCAAGAGGAGACCTTTCATTACCTTTTAACACCACACCTCAGCCCGTTGTTAATGCACTGTAACGAGATGCAAACGCTAAATGCAATATTTACAGCCAGTACTTTCTCAGCCATTTAAAAGCACTCACACCGCACGGCCTCCAGCCACGCAGAGCTGACAGCACCTGGCTGATAGGCTCGGCCCTCGGCCACATGCCCGTCACACCTCACCAGCAAGGAGAGAGCTACAGCTGCTTGCCGCTGCAATCGCCTCGTGCCTCTCCTCATCGAGGGGATTTACGCCTTCTACCCCAAACCCCATCGACGTCGGTAACAAGGACAAAAACAAGCAGGAAGTACTTAGACTGGTGTTTTTCTTTAATTGCTCCAAGAGGGACAGGGGGAAAGTTGGAAACCGTGTAAGAGACAGCAGCTTTTACTGACTTCATTACTAGACACGGGCACGAGCTCCCAGAGGGCTCGAAACCGTTCCCGGTTTCTGTTCCCCCCCCAGCTACTCCAGCCACCAGCGGCGGCGGCGGCATTTCCTGACGAGAAGTTTAACGCCTAAGCGCCTATCTTTAACCCGTAAGTTTCTTAGAGAAGTTTAACAGGGGGTTTCTTACAGCTCCAGGCGTCCGCCGCGACTCTGAAAGAAAACTCGGCTCCCCGGCACGTCGGGCGCCCCCACCGCCCGCTTTCCCG